TGGTCGGCCTTGAAGGCCTCAAGCTCTCCACCCTTGGCGAAGATCGTTCGGTCGTTGACGATGACGGTTTTGACGGAAGACTTCTTGATAGGCTCTGAAGCTGTCTTGAGGAGTTGCGAATCGACATACATAGCGCTACATTCGGTCTGAACGAGAGAGTGCTCGACACCACTGGGACCAAGCGTATCGTAGGCGGTGACAATCGAGATGGACTGTGAGGCAGCTGCGTGGGAAGTAGAGATCCAACCGATGCTTCACGCCGTGGAGTCAGAAACCAGTGCTTGGATACAGGGCCAGTCAATGCTGAACATACCTAGTGGTACCGAAAATGTGAAGCTTGTCATCACTGGTCAAACCCAGCTTCCGTAGACCGGAGCCGATCTGCAAAACGCGCTCGAGGTACTGTTGGTAAGTCAAGTAGTCGAAGCCAGTCAACTCGAAGTAGGACCACTCCTTCTCAACTTCTTGAATTTCGCCATCGACGTTCTTCTTGACCTTCTTCTTCTCAGTGTGCATGTTGATGAGCTTGCGGGCGCCGACAGCATGATGGTTGGGGTAGAGTCGAGCGCTGCGCTCAACAACCTGGAAGACGGTCCTGGCATCGGGAGCAGGATAGGTGACGAGGCCGTCCTTGGCCTTGGGGTGACGTCGAGGAATAGTTTCGCCGGGGACCTTCTCGTAGCCAGGAGCCTCGATAGTGAAAGGAGGCTTGTGCACCTGGTGCAGTGGCATAATGCCCGTTGTCCAGTCAGTCATCTTGAATGCGCGGTAGCTACGGAGTAGACGAGGAAGCTGATGAAGGTTGAGGTTTAGGTGATGGTTTAGGTGATGGTCAAGGTGAAGGAGGACAACTTCACAGAATGGGCGGCGATGACGACAGTGGGGGTTGAGAGTGAGGGTATCGTTGAGAGTGAGGAGAAAAAAGGAAAGAAATATGAAGGGGGAGACTGGTGGAATTAATGTGAGGAAGGGACGGGAAGCGAAGCCACGGACGGAGACGACGTAGGAGACAGCAGCGCAAGCGTGGAGAAGGAGATACTGCATCTGGTTGGCACACACTAACTTTGGCTGCCTTAATACTAACCTACCTTACCTACCTAAGCAATTGGAGCAACAGAACACAACACAACGGGAGAGCTAGAGTGAGCAATACGTATGGAGAGGCGCTTGCTGCAGGAGAGGCACGCAGACACGGCACAGCAGGGAGGTACACTGAATGGTACAGTACCATTCAAAGCCCGGGCCAGGTCGAGGTGGAGATTGTACAGGGTTTCAGCAGCTCAAAGTACCTCCAAGTATCCTAAGCTCGGTTGATTCAATGTCCATCTGACGCGGTTAAGTATTCAAGCACAGGCTTGGCTGAACAAATATTCAGATTGGTACACTCTTTTTCTACCTATGCTTTACCTTGGCTTACCATAACGAGCTTCCTTTTGGGTCCTGCAGACTGCAAAGATAGGAGCTAATGCTGGAATACGATAAATGTTTTTTTTTTTTTTTTTGCACCGGGACTGGATACATAAGGTACTTACCTTACCCTTGATGTAAAGTCTCTTCGGACAGGGAATCTTGAACAGGACCGAGGAGGGACCTGAAAGATACCTTGTTCCAGATGCAAGATGGAGACCAAACAAAAGCTGAGCCCTTCACAGACATCAATGATCAAAGTAAGTGGTGATTCGCGTAAATATAACAGGCCTTGGCGGGATCTAATTCCTACGCCACTGAGAAAAGACTTTCGAAGTCTCTTGGGAGCTAAAAGGAGGATGCCACTGATAAAAAGACAAGTGTCACATAATCTCTCCATATAAACTTTCCACATTAAATCCAGTTCACATGAGAAAAGGTGGTGGATAATGCTGTTGAACTTTAGACCTACCAAGATATTCGTAAATCAAAGTCTTGCAGCAATTTCGGAAAATATAGGCAAGTACAAAAAGATACAGATGGGGCCCAGAGCAGTATACCCCTTCAGGCTTAGCATGGATAGCTTCAGGGAAGCTCCAAGGCGCTAAGTCTGCTGGGAAACAGAGGGTGGGACGTCTTGATTGCGTCACAAATGGAGTCTTCGAAATTGTGCTGGCAGGTCTGCGACACGAACGACCATAGGTAGAGAAGAAATTCAAGAGAGCCTAAGGTAGTGAATGACAGACAAGACGTGAATGGCAAAAAATGGTCGTCATCACCATCAGAGCTCTCGGCTTCTTCGGCGCAACCATTGGTCCAGCGTCGTCAATGCTACAGGTGGCAGATCCTGAAGCCAACGCTCAGTGCTCCCCAGATCCTTGTTGAATCACCGGATCTCGAAGGTCTGTTGCTGGCTTGGCCGTTACGTTGAGGCTGACCCATTCTCAGTCTATCCCTCACTCGACTTATTGTCTCTTAACAGCCAGTAGCCGACCCTCTCGCCCGTACCATCCAGCGAATACGCATTGTCAGCAGCTGTAGGCACTTTGTTATTGTTATACCGACTACCGACGTGCGAAAGGAGAATCGATGCACCTTTCCGTAACCGAGGGAGAAGGAGAAGAACAAACAGAGTCCAATATGGCCGTGCCGCGAACGCACTGCAAAGCCAAGATTGACCTCAAACTACCAACGTAACCGGCTCATCGCATAGAACAGATCGGTACATGTACTTCTACAGTAATAAGGTACCTTACTGCTAGGATCAGCGACAGGATGCTGTGCCTTACACTGCTTTTAGCACTATAAACGCCACACTTAAATCATTTTCGCCCTATGGAGAACTGAAGATGGCATGTCTCCAGCTCAAAGACCTTCTGACCCAGGGGGGCCATAGACACCCATGCAACCCCAAAAAGTCAATATGTTCCAAAATAAGGGAAAGCTGTCATGTTTTTGGGCCATTTCCCCCAACACTCTGGGCACTTACACAGCAGTCTGCCTCACCGGGAGGCACCGGGCCCTATCAGGGAGCTCGTTGAGTTGCTGGCGACACACGTGCCTCGAACACAATCATGTTTGACAAGAAATGCATGTATCACCAAAAAAGCCACGAAAACTTCAATCATTTCTTTAATTCCAGATTCATCAAGACGCATATCAGATCCACCGCCGGGACCCCGCTGGCCGGATCTCCCTCCGCTGCTCCCCCGGACTCTTCAATGCTGGGCAGAGAAACAGGCTCAGGGAGTGCCTTGCAGATGGGATCAATCGCCGAGTTGACATTGGCTGTGGACGACGAGTCTCCTCTCTGATGCTAGTCAATCAGCTGTGTTACGTTCCGCTGACCTAAACCAGCCGAGGTGAATGTAGGTTTGTTACAGGTCGCGTGGCATGTGTCACTAGGCTTGCCCTTAGGTAACCTACGGAGTACAGTATTTCGTAAAGAACCAATAACTTATGTTTCGGTATTTCTGTCTGCACTCTCCCAGGCTTGATTTCATTCATGCACTGCCACTCTGGGTTTCTCTTGGCGCCTAAACTTGTGTTCATACAGACGCCACCATTTGGGAGCCAAGCATTTACTAGACTGCTGCTAGGTTACCCCATATTCAAGCTCGTTCGTAGCCAAGACCTGGCAATGGTCAGGTGTCACTGGTGAGGGGGTGGACGAGACTGTTTAAGGAATATACCTTGTTGAATACCTATGCACAGTAACTACCTATCTTTTCAGGCTACACTACGAGACTTTCAGAATCCCGGCAAATTCAGGATCAGTTTGGGACTGTGAACGCACTCGCAGGCCCCACGAGCTGTCATTATAGCCCAGTGTAACCCAATCCTTCAATCCTTTAGACTATCTGCCTAGCTGAGATGTTTGTGTATGAACAGACGAGTGGCATGTCCGTCACCGAACGGAACACAGCTCAAAGAGGCCGGAAGTTTCCTCTGGGGTCAGAATCCATGTCAGGCAAGCGCCCACAATGATCAAGATGATCAAGAACAAACATTGCCGAGCCTCGGGACCAGCAGCGGAAACACGGCTTTCTTGGTCGAAACCCGAGGAGCCGGCGACAGAAAAGTCAAACTATATGAGTATCACCTGAAGGAATTGAACTCCCACTTCCGAGGAAGGTCTAATATGAATCAAACATGATACTCGTACTCCGTATGGCAAGGGGAGTTTGGAGAGCTAGAAGTGTGTAGAGACGTCTCAAGGGGCTTGTTGTTGCTTGCACTTGGCCTAGACCATTCCATCTGCCAGCCTCTGAATGCGGCATGAATGTGATTTGGCCATGGTAGATTCCGCTTTGACAAGTCAAGCCTCGTTGAGCTAAGTTAGATGACGGCTGTTGATAGTGACATGAATAAAATGGCGGGGATTGCTCTATTTCGGCAGTTCGAAAGTAGTTCTGCCGTTTGATCGAAATTCTCAAAAGGCAGATTCTTCGATCGTTAATCGTTCAGTTATCGATATCACTTCTGAAGGTGGCACGTTGCAGAAATCGAATTCCTGTTCCCTGAACCCTGGATTTAGCGTTGCAGATCTGCAACTGGACTTCTCTGAAGAGGAAAGGGATTCAGGGGTATCAGCGGACAACTTCCAATGAGCATTGGCTTCTCTCATGCAATTACATAGTATGCAGCCCGTAAGGGCTGAACGAACTGCAGAATGATATCTCTTCAGTCTGGTGCTGACAGCTCCCGAAATGACGGAAATCACTGCATAATTATAGTTAAGAGTCCCCTCGAACTCGTAATGATTAGTACGACTCGCTTATCCACGTAGTCAATTACAGCAATCCAATCAATATCTCGCCTACTAGAGACGCGTACCTGTCGTGGCGGGGCTGGCAGGCGCTGATTGGTCGCCGTGATTTCGGAATGGCAGTTCAGGGGCATAATGACCCCCAAATTACATTGGAAACGGGGGCTTTACTTGAATACATACGTAAAGCGAGAGCCTCACCTTTTTGCCTCGTAACTTTATTTGTTTTTCCTCTTCAACGTCGAACTTGTCTCGGGTTTTGTATCAAAGACCCTCGAGCTGATTTTTTCACAGTGCAAATCCTATAGTATCTGCTCTGCTCACGATGGTGGTACGCAGAAGTATTGAGCAGTCAAATGCTTGGCTCAAACCTGTCGAGGACGATGAAGATGAGGGCTTTCTCACTGTGGCCGAAGATGCCGAAGCCAAAGGAATTCTCGATGATGGCAACAGATCGACGCTCAACTTGACGACTACTGAGCTTCCTGTGTATATGAACATTCACCGGTAAACTCGCCCTTATCCTTGATCAATCCCTGCCTGCAGCTCAGAACTGCATGCTCCTAGTGAGCCATTGTATAAGCTCGCCAAGAATCATAGTACACCCATCATGAGGAGTCAGCGTGCTAACTCTCCTTGAGTGTAGAGTCCGGCGTTTAGTTCTTGCGAGTATTGGTAGGTCTCATCCTAAGTCGTATATAAAATATGGATTCTAATATACATCAGATGATCCTTATACTATGGAGCACTTCAGAGATCCCAAGATGAACGCTCTAGTTGTGAGGCCTCTGGTCGAAAGGCTTTATAACCCAGATGATATCTCAGTCGGTGAGTTTGAAGCGCAGAATCTCACCTGGGAGTCTTCTCTGACTCCTCCCCGTCAGTTTATTGCTTGTTAGCGAACCGTGTATCCTTCCTAAGAGAGCAGTCTAAGGAGGTTCATCAGAGTGTCAATCAGGCGCGTGCAATCCTATGTGAGCTGCTCGCCAGTCGGGTCCTGCGCCGCTTCCACGAGGACAATCCAGGACCGCGGGGTCTTTTGCTGCTCTCACATATCCTCGTTGAGGGCTTCGACCCATTCCAAGGAGCCCCTAGTCACATGGAACGTCCAGCTAACCGACCCCAATGGCCTGGATCTAGCGATGCTTCTGGCTCTGAGAGAAAGGTCACAGCTCTCGAGTTGGCAATTGTCTCGGAAAGCAAGTTCTTCATCAGCTCTGCAGCCTGTCAACGAGCTGTCGATGCAGTTCATAACGGTCAAATCATTTACACGCCCCTTTCATTTATGGATTTCCTTCCGGATCACTATAAACGACGACCTATCTCTCTTTATGACCCCCGGACAGCACCTCTCCTCAACCACCACCGTCTTATTGTTCCTCGCAACCGAAATCTCATCGAACTCGTTCACTTTGTCATCTTACTGGTGCTCTACGTCATGACCATGATTTCTCGCCATTCTGAGGTCAATATGTGGGAGTTCGCCTTTTGTATTTACACCTTCGGTTGGCTTCTCGAAAAGATGGCTGCTATTATCGAGCATGGCTGGGCAGTTCACGCACAGAATCTATGGGCATTTCTTGACATCACTTTTGCTTCCATCTTTGGCGCCTATTTCATTCTCCGCATCTACGACTTTCTCCTCGATCAGCTTCATTCTGGCTATGGACTACCGATTCTTTGTATTGCAGCACCTGTCATGTTGACCCGGGTTGCTTTCAACCTACTGCCGAACAACCTTGTCTTTATCTCTGTTCACGCCATGATGAAGGACTTTACTGTACTGACGTTCCTTGCCACATGGTGCTTTACCGGCTTTCTGCTCGCTCTGCAGTGGCTTGTTAGTGCTAGCAACGATGGTGATGAGGAGTTCAGCTGGTACGTTGTGGGCAAATGGATGCTCTGGATTTGGTTCGGTCTAGATGGTGAGGGTATTGAGGAGTCGGTGCGCTTCCATATCGTCCTTGGTCCCGCGTTGATGATTGCCTTTGCGTTCCTGGGCAACACGCTCTTTCTGACCATTCTCATTGCCATGCTCACGAACACATTCTCCAAGATTGTGGCCGACGAAACGGCCGAGATTCAGTTCCGACGCGCTGTTTTGACTTTTGAGGGCGTCAAGAGTGATTCTATCTTTGCCTACCCCCCTCCCTTCAACATTTTGGCTCTGATGGTGCTCCTACCCCTGAAGCTTGTCACCACCGCTCGAATCTTCCACATTGTCAATGTGGCCCTTATTCGAACTCTCAACATGCCAACTCTCCTGCTCATTAGCTTTGTGGAGCGGCGCCGTCTTTGGATGCAGTCCAGACGTGCTTCTGGCAAGCGATCCAAGTGGCAGTTCACATCTCTGTCACCGCATAATGATGTCCAGGCAGTCTTCAAGTCGATTCCGCCAACTGAGATTTCTGACATCATCGATCAACTCGACCCGTTGGGTGAAGTCCCAATTCTTGAGGACGATCTGATGCCTACGATGGCAGGTGACAATCCTCAGTCGAAGCTGAGAAGATGGAGAATGTTGCAACGAGAAGGGCATCGCCGAACAGATGATACGGATGCGTGGAGTAGCTCAAGCAGCATAAAAAACGAGTAGACAATATCGAAGTTACGAGCACAGCATTACATCGGCGAAAGGAGTTTATCTTAGGTTGTTAATATGGGTGGGAGGAGTTTTCCGACTTCTACGGCAAGACAAGAATCATATAGAGAAAGAGTAGATGAACCATACCTTGTAATTCGAGATTTTTGAGCTCTATAACCAATTCTGCCCCTAGGTAGCATTTTATACGAAGTGATGTAGTACGGCTCAGCTAGCGTAGATTGGTGCAAGTCATGAGATATAGTAATCAAAGTGATAGAGACATTCGGTGAATACGTAAAACTATCTCATACTATCCTCGTTATCAAAACATGATAGATATCTATATCAGCATTGAAATATCTATGGTATCGAGATCCATCATTGTTTCACTCCAGGTTAAGTAAGGCAGTTGTGAAGTTGTAGTTGTTCTATTTGGAGGACCCACTCAAGCTGTTGGCCCCGCGGTCATGGGTGTAGGGGTCCTCAAACGGGAGCTAAAGTAGAGAAGCCCGAATCTTTCACAGGCAAACATCACCATCACCAACGCGACTAGAACAAAGAATAGCAATTGGACACCTTTTAATATGCCCAAACGTTATTGATTACACACACACACACGATAAGGAACGAAGAAAGGCACCTGAAATCTACTCATCATGGCCCATGGCGACGACCAACCGTTGTCTATACGACCATCTCCCGTCGCCGATCGCAAACCTCAGAACATTGCAGAGTTTATTGCTCGCGCCAACGCGCAACCTGGAGGCTTCAGAGCTATAAACGAGGCCAAGCTAAGAGAAGAGCTTGCCCAGGAGGAAGCGGAGTATGGGGATGCGCTGGATCGGGATGTTGACATGACCGATGTAGACCAAGACGACGACGATGACGAGGATGCGCCGAGAGACCTCCAGGAAGTGCGCATGGAGATGCTAAAGAATCTTGAGTATGGAAGCCCGCATCGGTCCAGAGAATTGGTCGATACATCCTACAGCATGATAATAAACTAATATCTTTCCTCAGCGCCGCAGGGAATACAGCTCTTCTTACCCTCGACTTCCTCTCCCTCCTCATCTCGAAACAGAACCCTACACAGGCTGGCGTCACCCTATCACAAGGCCTACGAGACATGGTTGGCATCGGCACACTGGGCACCGACAGGCTTGATAACCCACCCATGACTCCAGCCAAAGTACAAGAACAGGAGAACATAGCATTGGGTCTGGCACTCACACAGACGAACAAAGCACGGGATGCTGCCGAAGCTGCCAGTGCATTCTTGGAAAAAGAAGTCACGGTTGAGGGCAAATACTGGGAGGAGATCACAGCGGTCCAGAAATCCGGGTGGTCAATATCCAGAGTGCCCCAAGAAAGGCATACACTTGGTGTTCGATTTGGTTTCTCCGAAGGTACGCCTCGCTTTTGATGAGTTTGACAGCGCACAAGCGTGCTAACATGACCAATAGCTGCACCCGAGTACAGGAACAGTCTAGCACCCATGAGGCGAGGCAACGACGGGGCAGTTCAGCTTGATTGCGGCCGGCTGGGAGGAGTATCTGAGCGAGTTGTTGTGACATATGAAAGAGACGGTCAAGTTACCGGTCGCTCTGCTTTACCAGCTGAGACGGCTGCTGACGCTCCCTTGGAAGAGCGTGTTCTTGAAGCCCGAAACACCATCTTCTCACAAGAGCTATGGCATGAACTGACACGCGAAGCTCGCACCCTTGCAGCATACGATGTCAAGCCATACGATTCCCGCCTCATCTGCGATATAGATCCAGCATCCAAATCAAGGGTCATCTTAGAGCTGGTGCCGCTTGGACCTCAGGCTTCTTCGGATGACGCTCTTCCTGATAACCGAATCGCTGAGACGATATCCCTTGCGCTGCATACCCTCCTTAGCTACGCTCATCGGCAGAACGAGCTCACCAGAACTCGCCCTATTCCGCCTCATATCCCACGATCGAGAGGCCAGCAAACACATGCTCTTCTACGTCCTATAATCGCTCGCCTCATGCACCTCCACAACGTCCAGGTCGTCACCAAGCACATTGGTGTCCTCGTTCAGTCTCTTCAGCGCGCTGGCTTCCCGTCACGTTTCGTCCTCAACACAACCCCTATTTCTCTCAACGACTCAGATCCCGCGAATCAGGGACCCAACCAACTTGCATCGTCGCAGGTCATGATTCGGAATATGCTTCAGCCCATTGAGTTCAACATCAAACTAACCATTCTTCCCAATGTCAGCTTCACCGTCCGCGGCCGGACATTCCTCATGCCCGTTACAGCGACTTATTACTATGTAATCACCCCCCCGAACTCACCTCTTTCGGCTGCATGTGCACCATATCGGGAAGGATATCCAGACGCAAATGCACTGGCTGATTACCTCGGCACTGCTACCACACGCCTTCTTGTCGAGCACTACCTCGCTATTCTCCCCTCGCCATGGTCCAAAGGCATACAGGGCAATGCCATTCTCAACGCCAAGAACGAAGATTGTCGGATGGTCTTCACAGTCACGCAAGAGCCGACCCTCCATCTAAAGAGCACGTCTATCGTTGACGGGCAACTGGTGTCCCAGGAATGGACGTGGTCAGACGACGCCACCAAAATACATGTTCAGGACATCATAGATACCGAGGTTTCCAAATTAAACCTCTGAGACTTGGTCGCTTCCGGCTGAGAGGGTAGGAGAGTAAGGTGGACAGGACATACTCAGCTTTTGATGGTGCTCAAGAGCTTTACATCAGCTGTGGTGTAGTATATAGACTGGACGCATCTATTTACGAAGCAACGAGTTGTCTTTGTGCATTCTGGTTCACACCATGTATACAATACGATCACGCGCATTCTTACCTTCCAACTGGAAACAATGTGATATGTACTGAAATCATTTCCTTAACGTTGACATGGTTCATCTACGGATTGTTCACCCTTGTGCAACATGCACGCCGCCTGCAATCAACACTGAACGAACATCTGCGAAGCATTTTCCTTGAGCTCACACTCCAAAATGTCCCTTGGTGGAATCATTATCCATATCTCGTTGCTCACATAATCGCATCGAGAAAATTTCTTTATCGAATTAACGCCGCGAGGTGGTCGTTCGGCTCCCACGATATTGAGGCCTCACTCAGCCCTGTAACTGTCATAACTCGTCCACGTCTAAAAAAGCGAGTCGTATCCCATGATACTGTATAATGTGATAATTGATATCGTAGCAGACGATCTGATCTGTTGGTTGACATACATCTATTAGCGGTTGAATCCGAAAAGATTCTTAAGGTCGTTGATGCTGAGACGACCAATCTTGCTGCCTGCAGTCTCGTCCAGTGCAGCCTCCACCATCTCCTTTTTCTTGTTTTGCAATTCAACGATTCGGTCTTCGACGGTCTCCTTGGTCAAAATTCGATACACCTTCACCTCCTGTTGTTGCCCAATTCGATACGCTCGATCGACCGCCTGCATCTCGATGTAGGGATTCCAGAAAGGATCCATAATTATTACTCGAGACGCAGCGGTAAGGTTCAGGCCTGCATTTCCAGCTCGGAGGGAAACCAGCATAACCTTGGTATCCCTTCGCTCACGGAAATTCTGAGCTGCAATGTTGCGAAGAGTTGCTGACATTGAACCATCGTATCTCTCTGGCTTAGCCATCTTCTCATGTGACATGGCGACCTGTAGCAGATCCAATAGCAGGGTCCACTGAGAAAAGATGATGGTCTTCTCGCCGGTTTCCTCAATCTTCTTGATGAGATTCATGCATTCCGTGACCTTGGCGGCAGGTTCCCAAGTCTTGCGTAGATATCGCATGTACTTTTTGAACGCCTCGCGGTTCTTGTAAGCCTCCTTGCGCAGGGTCTTAAGCATGGCAGGCTTGACATCTAATGACTTTCCCTTACCCTTGTTCTTCCGTTTCCCCTTTCCTTTGCTCTGTTTCTTGACCGATACCTTTTCGTCATCGGCCGGAAATTCGTCGTTAACGATGAAACCTTTGAGATTGCCATTTTTGTCCACCTCATCATCTGACTCGTAGTCTGACTCTGACTCCGTCTCTGAGTCGTCACCCGAGCCAGATACATCGGCGGCTGGTTCAAAATTGGAGTCTTTCTTGATAGTTTCTGGCATGTGCACTTCCCGAAAGGTTTCGTAGGAAAAACACTTGACAGGGTCGAATTGGCCGCGACAGACGGGGCACTTAGCCCGGCTGCTTTCATTTCCTTCCTGCAAATTAACCGCCGAAGCGCTCTCTACAATCTTAACGAGGCATTCGCTGCAGCTATCGTGGCCGCAGGGAATAAAAAAGCTAGGGCATTGAACGGCATCATAGCAGATAGGACATTCGAAGGCCTCGACCTCCTTGATCCTATCCACTATAGCTTGATCCAATTCTTTGACCAATTGTTTTTTATCTTCATCCGAAATAGACGAAGAGGCGACCTCGTCGACATCCAGATTGAGATGTGGATGGCAACAAGCCTGTCGCAAGCGAAGCAAAAGAACGAGAATGTTGGAGTAGTTCTTGCTGACTGTCCCCTCACGAAGATATTTGCTAAACTGAACCCTGGCATGTTTTTCAAGCTGCGAATAGAAATCGCGCTCCTCAGGTGATAATTCGGCATAGATGATTTCTTCCGTCTTCTCAGGGAGCACAAGGATGGGCTTGCCGTTGAGTTTTGAGCTTTTCTTACGCCGGAGCATGATGGCTTTGAGAAGTGCTTGTAACTTATCCATGGCCACGTGTTTCGGGTCTCCATTGCGGCCAAATAGAACACCAAATCCCTGACTGAGCATTAGCGACAAACTGGAATTGAAGACTGATTGGCATACCTGTCGGAACTCTTCCCACTTCGAGTACGGTTTGATCCTCAGGAACTTGACAAGAGAGTACAGTTCTATGATTCCATTCATCATGGGTGTTCCTGTTAGACACCATCGGTGGATCGATTTCAGTTGGGTGCAAGCTTTGGCACCCTTTGTGTCCTTGTTCTTAATGCATTGTGCTTCATCAA